TTATAATAAACAAAATTTAATTCAAAATAAAATTCAATAATAACTACGCTAAATTGAGAAAAAGAAAACTAAAATCAGTAATACATAAATTTCAATGGTACTCACAATTCGCAGAGCTGCTAGCCAGAGATGCTACCTAAAACTAAAACACGAATCACAACAATAACAAATGAACTTAACTAAATACAATTTTTGGTAACACAAATTTAAATCTAACAACTGACTAGAATACGGTAGCTAATTAGTAGCAATGAATCACAATAAAATATCTTTAGTAGCTAATTAGTAGCTTAAAAAATTGATCCTCGCAATTAGTGAAAAGAAAAAATATGAATAAAAAACTATTTGAGTTTTTTTAAACTTTAAATTTGCCGTAACGATTTTAAAACAAAACCAAAAACGTCTATATCACATTTATATATGTATATATTCAACTAACAAAAAAAACTTGTTTCACCAAACACAAATCAGTATATTATTGCACAATACAATGTTGAATTATACTATAATGCGGTTATGTGCGTGTGTGGTGTGTAGTGTGTGAACAGCTGATCGGCCGGTAGTAGCGATATCCACTAATACTTTCGTAGTAGTGAGTAGGTGTGGTGATAAAAGTTAGACCGGTCCGAGTACAATGGACGCGCGTGCGTACAACACACTATTATGTTGCAGCTGCAAGACCTTTCATTTTGTACAAATTTAAAACAATAGTGATTTTATATTTTCGACTCCAAATTGCTATAACATATTGGAAAATGAATGGATCAATACCATTTTTTTATATGAAAAAATTACTTTATATTTAAAGTGATCCGATGATCTCATACTGGTTTCCTATGCCAATGGCCGAGCGAATTTGTATGATCCAACCTCATTATGTCTGAGTCAACTATAATTGCAACATTTGACAAAATTCTGTCAAATAAATAAAGGTACAGCCGACCTCAAAAAAACAGGAATAGAGTCCATGGTAATGATGATGAGGATATTTAAGAAATTACTTGTTATAAACTATACATTTTCCTTTTATTCAACTAAATAAATTTGACTATAAGAATTAAATAATGTTTGTAACAAAAAATTTTGATCATCATGTAATATAACATTTTTTTTGAAAAATGTTTAACACAAAACGTAAATATAAAATAAATATTCAAAATTGTCAATTAATTATTTTAAATCATTGTTGATAAATAAACACGTGTAATACATTAATAATGACTAATAGAATACGTTTTTACTAACAATTTTCGTCGAAGTATATCTTATTATATATTTAATTTTGAAAATTATAATCTAAAAATTATTACATTAGTTACACACAAATAACTTCACTCTAAAATATAAAGTGTTACAATATAACTTATTTAATAAAATTAACTTTTTTATGTATTAAGTTTTATTTGTCTATTTATTAAATTAATTACTTTAAAAGAAACGAGCTTTCTAAAAAATATTCTCCAGAAGTAATCTAAACAATTTAATGCAAATTATAACAAACACATACTTTTTTGGGGTAAAGTGATAGTAATTATTCATAAACATGACCATCGAAGCCTAAATCTGTACAAAATTTCTGTACGCCGTTTGGAATTTCCAATTCTATATTTTCGTTCCGTAGTTCAAAACACTCGTATTCATCACTATTTGTATTAGTATATTTTATGAAATTTTCTTTAAAATTTTCAAAATTTTTGTCAAAAATATTGTAGTCAAAAAGTTTCTTAGAAATCTCAATATCATCAATTTTTTTAATATTATTAATTTTTGATGGCCACTTTGTTAATTTTTTTAGAGCTGCAAGAACCGGAGTTGAGTGATTGAAAAATTGTAGTGCATTTATCATACAAGTTATTAATGGATTGAAAGTATTAATAGCGTTATTAAAAAGATTTAAGTATTTAATTATTTCATCATCGAAATTAACATTTCTATTATTATTTAATATAATGTCAATTTTTCTAATCTCATCTTCATTGTTCCACATACTGATTCTTTTTTTCAATAATTCTTTCAATCCTAAATAAAGACTAATTCGGCTTTGAGGATATTCAAATTTTTTAACAATGTTGTAGTAGATTGAACTCAATATTATTAAACCATCTATCATTTTTTTCTTAAAATTTTTTCTGGTTACTATCTCTGTATCGCCATCATCGGGTGTAAATAGACTGTTAGTAATAATTATATCATTGTTATTTCTATAATAAACGTAGTCATTTGTTAATTTTTTCCAATTTTTATGACCAAAAATTTCATTTAGTTTCGTAATCTTTTCTGTATTTGTGTTACAATAGAATGCACAGGAGTTGGCGAATATTGATATAATTAAAATTACAAGCATTATTAAAATATCCGTAAGTACCACTTATATAAATTTATTATATTAAATTTTTAATACTGTAATAAAATTTTAATGCGTATACAAATTTATTTTATATTACTTTATGAATCAGGTCACACGTGTATTTTATTTGTATAGAATACAATTATTTTTAATTATTTTGATAATATTACGTCTTGATTTTCGCACTAGTTCATATGTTACATAGTCAACAAAATATGGTTAGTTTTTATTATAGAATAGCTTAGTGATTAAGATATTAATATTAGTAAGATATTCAATTTAAATTTTACTATAGATTACATCGTTCAGGTCTAGAACTTTGCGAACCTGCTAGTTTAAAGATACCCATTTGGCGTCACAGATTCGGTGAAAAAGTCGTTATAGCTCTTATAATGTGTAGAGAGTTGATACAAATACTTGATGTAATTATCTTAGGAATTTCAATAGAAATCGCTGGCTTACTTCATCCGGCGTATAAAAAGCCATTTTTTCTCGTAAAAACCTCTCTTCTTTTGGACTTCTCTGGACTTCTTTTGACGATTTTCTGCGGCAGCGACTGCAACGACTACCCTCTAAATATTCTCTTACATGGAATCTGCGTCAGTATAAGTAAATATTTTGTCCCTGTGACTTAGTTTTTTTTATATGTATCATCCTAAGTGGTGAACATTGTCTTAGATGATTTATTAATATTTTACACAGGAACAAGTTTTTATTTATTTTATTATCACCTAATGTTCTCACGACAAATAGACATTATCTCTATTTTTTATATAAAGGTTTTAAATATTATTATGCCCTTCATTTCTGGACAGCCTCAAATGTGCCGAAAAGAGTGAAGAAACGTAATTTTATTTATATAGGCATAATAGCCTTATACATTATCGTATATTCATAATAAAGCTTATTGTACTCTACATTTATGAACAGCCTTAAATGTGCCGAACTAAATGAAGAAGCATAATTTGTGATTAGAATTAACTAGTTTTAGTAGTAGTACTTTATGCCTGTGTACCCGCCAGCCTTAAGGGACTATGCCAAATACCTTTCGGTAACGTGTAGGCAGTTGTGGTACAGAGTAGTACTAAACTTATAAAAAGAGCATTTTTGAAGTGCGCTATATCCGTCGACAAGCCAGTTCTAGAGCTAGTAGTCCGGGTAAAGTTCATCATAAAATATATAGTCCGTAAGATAGGAAACTACACCTTGGAAATATTCTCTGCGTGTGTACCCGTCAGCCATAAAGGACTATGCCAATTACCTTTCGGTAACGTGTAGGCAGTTGACGTAAAGGATAATAAAAGGTGTATTGAAATAATATTTTAAATATATTAACGAGGTAACTGTGTCCGCGCCAGCCAAGGCTTTACGCTGAGAAACGCTGGGCCACCACAGTCTTGTTAATTATATTTTGAATATAGATAGATATTCTTATAATTATATTTTGACTAGTTCAGAGTAAATTTTAAGAATATCGATATCGACTGTAGGGAATTTGTTCGAACTGTTAATGGAGAATATGAGCGAGCTGTCCGCCAATTGTGCCCTCTACCGTTTGAGGGTAATAACTCATCTCCAGAAGTTTTCATCCCAGTAGTTAGTCCAAATTTGTAAAAATATGTTGTTATTATCTGTTTGTTGTCAATTTATTCTGAAAATTTTTACTGTCGATGATTTAGTAATATTTATAATACCGCTTTTTCATTTTGGTTAGATTGTTTAATTAATTAATTTGTCTTTATTATTATTATTATTATTTTTTTTTTTTACACAAAATGATTATATTTGTAGTTAAAATATTACTATTAATTTAAATTATTTTTATCTTTATCAAAAATAGTTATGTTTAGGGTTGTTAAAATTTATCTTAAACTGTATACTTTATGTATTTTTTTTATTCAATAAGTCATTTTGAAATTTGTTATTTCAAGGCGGCCTGCGTATTCGATCCATAGTTTGTTTTTTTTTTTATTTGAATGTAGTATAGTGATAAGCGCGTTTATCCGGTGCGTACCGGTTTTTTCGTTATTGTAATAAATATTCGAACGATGTCTCGTCAACGAAAAGGACAGCACGACGTGCACGCCAAACATGTGTATATAAAGTAAAGTAATAAACTAAGTTAAAGGTATAAGTTTATATCGTTTTTTATTAATTAGATAATTAAAAGTAATTTCGAACCTTTTTATACAGTCCACTTAAAAAACGTAACATGTAATATGAACCAACAACTAGTGGAAAGTATTGAAAATAACTGGAATGATACAGGCAACTTATTGTTCTTTTTGTTAATGAACGATAGTTATTGTAATTGTGTGAAGTGAAAGTGATTAAATAATTAGTAATTTCATATCAATACAATAACTTTATTATTATTTTTATTTTACTCATAATTTTTTTTAGTGTGATATAAAAATAAATATATACCTACAATTAAACATCATATAACAAGGTGGTTAAATTCACATAATTTTTGGTAAAAGTTATGCTCCATAATATAAAGTAAATTTACAGAAAAAATTCAAAATATAATAATTATTATTTTAGTTCCATGACTATAATAGTTTATACCATGACAGGCAGTTAAACTATTGTTTTGATTACAGTGATAAAGAATTTGAATTATGATATTATAATGCGCATTCTTAAAATAACTGGTTGATTTAAAAGTAGTCAATTGTTATAACTTAACTTACTTACTAATTTGGTTTTTTTTTTTTTATCGTAAGCCTTTATTTAAAAATGTTATGGCTCAACAATTAATATGTGAAACAACAGTAAATATTACAAATGCATACATTTACACCAAAAGAAGTAACAGGAGAGAAAACAAAAGTGAAGTAAAAATTATTTACTAGAGATATTCATATTATAAGTTGAAAATATAATAATAGTACTATAGCCAATCATTATGAGTAAATTAAATGAAGCAGCCAGCGTACAAAAGAAAAAATTCAATTGAGTTACTAATGGACACATTAGGGCAATTAAGGTTTAGAAAAGGATGGGGATTTGTTATACCATGAGTGGCTAGGAAGTTGAATAACAAGGACCTATTGGATTTGAGAGAAAGGCAAAATAATAAAAAATGAGAGAAATCACCAATATATTCCTCCTGGTGAAGGTGACAGTAGGAAACAGAATTAAGTTTAAGTTTGAAGGTGAAATAGGGTAGAAATCGTGACCAACTCTTAAGCGGGAAAAATCGACTAAAGATTGCCTCAAACTTTGCTCAATGGCACCGATAAATCACCCCATATCTCTTAAATCTTCCCTGGTCCCATCGTCTTGATCTCCCCCGTAAATCTAATTTGGGTCAAAATATTAAAATTAACATTTTGATATTCTAAAACATTTATTCATATTTATTATTATTTTGTGTTAATTTAAATATTTTATTTACAATAGTTGTGTTTTTAGCTTACATTCAGATATATTTTTTTTAATGTGTAGTAAATTATTTTATATTAATGCCTTTACTATTAAGTATAATCAGAAATCTTGGATTTACGTTTAATAAACATCGAGAAATCAGTTATATCATCTTATTTAGTCTTTTATTTCTAAAGAAATATTTTGAAAATAAATTTTTATTCTTATTATGTTGCCATAGTGATTAACAATTAGTAAACTTCAATAAATTTCATTGAAAAAATTAAACAATAAAAGCTAAGATTTCTCATTAAATATTTATCATGGAATCTGACTCAATACATGAAATGTATCATAAAGAACTTGTACGTATTTATGAAAAGCATAGAACTGAACTAGATGACACTGATAAAAGACATCGTGATGAAATAAAACAAATATTCACAGAAAATAATATAAACATTTCTAAATTGAAACAAAATACTAGATCTGAATATCAAAAAGAATTGAAAAAGATAAAAGAAATTTATGAACAAGAAATTGAAAAACTTAGAAATAAATTTGAAAGTTTTCAAAATAGTTTAAAAGATTGTGACTTAGATACGTTAACTAAACGTATTGAAGAAAATATTACAAAAACACAAGCTAAACACAATAAAGTTATTTAAATTAATTAAAAAAATTAATATTTAATCTGTTCTAACATGATATATATTTTTAGACTTCAATTAATTCTCCATTCGATGGTATAGAAAAACCCGTATCCTTAGATTCTTCAGACATAAATAATTATAGAGATGTTGGGATACAGCATACGGATATTAAAACTTCTGATTATGTTCGTTTAAATACTATATGCTTACTTTCTTGGATATTAATGTATATTTTTTATTTCAGGAACTATCTCAAGATAGTATAGACACAAACATTAAAGATCTTAAAGATATTATACAAGAAAGGTAAACACTTTTATATTTATACACTATGTTACTTATAATATGTTTTGCGAGACAATTTTATTTTATTTTTACTAATACTTGGCAATAAATAAAAAATAATTCAGAAAATTCATTCAAAATAATTCTCTGCTTATGTTTAAAAGCTAAAGTTAATCATTTCGTTAAATAAAGTCATAGAATAAAAATATTTCCATATAATTACTATCAATTCATATAAATTGATTATCTCAATTATTTAAAATTAATATTTTTTAGAGAATTACACAATAATATCACCTTAGAGAAAAATAATTATCCTAATTGGATAGTTGCCTCATTGAATAATGCTTTTATGTGGATACAAAAACATTTAAACAGATTTTTCAAATTTGATCCAAATTTGTCAACTATGCAGCCAAAAAATCAAATAAATGTAAGCATCTAATAAATTTTTTTAAAGTTACTATAACAAATTAATATTATTATAAATTATATAAAAATAATGAGGTATACTGAATATTGTTATTTATATCTTCGTGCACTGATTGATTTACATTAACTTTACATCATTAAATTAAATGATTTGACAAACCGTTATTAAAATTTGCCATCAACTTATGAACCCAAATAGGTAGAAAAATAAAACATTTATCAAAATACAATAAAAAGCTTAGAGTCAAAAAATGTAAAACTCGTTAAAAAAAATATGAACTTACAGTTAAATTATTTAAAATTAAACCTTATAATAAAGGTGTAATTAAAAATCTTGTAGCTGTATTTCTAACTAAATTAATGGAAGGCAAAGAAATGTTAATATATTTTGTGTCATTTTACCTTTAGAAGTGATCACATAATTTCAATAATTTTTTTTTTGATATATATATATATATATATAT